AAAACAAACAAACAAAAAAAAAAAAAACAAGAGAATGGCTCACTTAATGATAGAAACAGGTCCAGAAATATTGATAATAACATTGAATGTTAATGGATTAAATTCTCCAATTAAGAGACATAGACTGGCTGAATAGATTTAAAAAAAAAAAAAGATCTATCTGTTGCCTACAAGGAACACACTTTGTAGATAAAGACATACATAGACTAAAGGTGAAGGGCTATAAAAATATGTTCCATGCAAATGGAAATTTAAAAAAGGCTGGTGTTGCGATACTGATCTCAGACAAAATAGGCTTCAAGGCAAAGACAGTAAGAAGAGACAAAGAGGAGCATTATATATAATAGTAAATGGACTTTTTCAGCAAGAAGACATAATGCTTATAAATATCTACACACCCAAATCAGGAGCACCTAAATATGTGAAGGAAACACTGCTGGAGCTAAAAGGAGAGATGGGGTGCAACACTATAATTGTTGGGAATCTCAACACCCCATTATCTGCTTTAGACAGACCATCTAGACAAAAATAATAATAATAGAGAGATACAGTACCTAAATGACACTATAAATCAAATGGACTTGACAGACATCTATAGAACTTTACACCCTAAGACTACAAAATACACATTTTTCTCTCCTCGACATGGAACATTTTCAAAGATTGGCCATGTGATAGGACACAAATCAAGCCTTGATAGGTTCAAAGGCATAGAAACTATATTCAGCATCTTCTCTCACCATGATGGAATTAAACTCGATATTAATTTCAAGAAACACCCTCAAAAATACACAAACACATGGAAACTAAACAACCTATTCCTGAATGACTTTTTAACTACTGAAGAAATTAAGTCAGAAATTGAAAAATTCATGGAAACAAATGATAATAGTACATGAATTTCCATAATCTATGAGACATAGCGAAAGCAGCTGTAAGAGGGAAATTCATAGCAATCAGTGCACATAAGAAAAAGATGAAAAGGTGGCAAATAGACAACCTAACGTCATGCCTCTGGGAATTGGAAAAACAACAACAACAACAAAATGCCAGGTGAAAAGAAATCATAAAGATTCAGGCAGAAATAAATGAAATATGGAAGAACTATACAGAAAATAAATGAAAGCAAAAGTTGGTTCTTTGAAAAGATTAACAAGATTGACACACCATTATCTAGACTGATAAAGAAGAAATAAAGAAACTAGATAAATCAAATGCATGATGAAACAGACAACATTACAACAGACACAATAGAAATACAAAACATCATTAGAGGATATTATGAGCAACTATATGCCAACAAACAAGATTACCTGTTGATGATAACAAGTATAGTATTCTCAACTGGACTGGTCTGAGAAGTATTTCATGTTAGGTAAATTCTTTTTTTTCCTTTAATTTTTTATTTCAATTTCTTTTATACATTCAATCACATGTTGCTTAGCTTGCAAAGTGAATATTCCAAAATGTGTACATTTCTCACCAGTCCAGTTGACAATACTATAAAGTTATCTTCAATAGATAATAACTTATTCAATTGTCACCTAACCCCGGTGAGAATGACTAAGATTTTTTTTAAAAATGATAAGTCCTGGCAGTGGTGTGGTGAAAGGGGAACCCTCCTATACTGCTGGTGGGAATGTAAATTGGTCCAACCACTGTGGAGAACAATTTGGAGATTCGTCAAAGATCTACAAATAGAACGATCATATGATCCAGCAATCCCACTCCTTGGTATCTACCCAAAGGACAGAAGAATTCTTAATTGGAAAAATGCTTGCACATTGATGTTTATTGCAGCATTATTCACAATTCCTAAGACATAGGGACCAGCAATTGGTGTAATGTAATGGCTAAGACATGGAATCAACCCAAATGCCCACGAACAGATGAATGGATTGAAAAAGCATGGCGCCAGGCGCGTGTGCGTGCGTGCCCAAGATCCCGAGAGGAGAATGGAGGAGAAGGGATTGTGGCGTGGCCATCCCCCCTAGGGGGTGATTTCTCACTTTCTATCTCTCTGTCTCTCTCTCTGTCTGGCGAGCGCACACGCCCTATAGCAAAAACCTCTCCAAAAAAATTTAAAAAAAGAAAGAAAAAGCATGGCAGAAAGTGGTCAGATATGGAGGATTTATTGCTGAGTGAAGTAAGCCGGGCTATGAAAGAAAGATATTCTATGTATCCACTTAATATATACCGACTATCCACACTCTATGGTAGAGAGCGAAATATTGGAGGACATAAAAGCAGTGAAAGTACTTAACGAGAATAAGACACTGTGGAATGGGGAGGGGGGGGAAGAAGAAGATAAAGTAAGCAAGAGAACAAATAGAGAGACAGGACGTTAGTGGGAAACAAATATGGCTTATTACCTGTTGATGTTGGCATGCTGGATTAGTCTGAGAAGTATTTCATGATGGGTAAAGTCTTTTTACAAGCAAAATGAGAAATAGTGACTGACTTTAAAAAATAATTAGAATAATAATAATAATAATGATTGGGAAAAACATTGAAAAGATATTGAATGATGAAGTGGGGAGATTAATGTCTCTGTATTGACTGACATGCAGGGCATTCCCTTTTGAAAAAGAAATGTAACACACTCTAAAGTTATATGCAATCCAATATATTATAAACAAGATTATGATGATAATAAAAATAAATTTAAAAAGAAAAAAAAGAAAAAGTGTGGCATGTATACACTATTGAATACTACTCAGCCATAACAAAACAGGACCATGGCTTTTGACAGAAAGTGGATGAATACGGAAGAGTTACTTCTGTGTGAAGCAAGCCAGGCTATAAAGGAAAGACACTGTATGTCCCCACTTACTATATACCAAGTGTCTGCATTCTATGGCCGAAACTGAATGACTAAAGATTATAGAAACTTAGTAAATGGTTGTGAATACCAGATACAGTGTGGGAGGTGGGTGGGTGAAGGAGTAGAGTCTGAAGAAGGACATTAACGGTAAATTCTTTATACAAGCCAAATGATATATAGTGATTGAATGTTTAAAAAAAACTAATGAGAATCAGGGCCGGCAAGTCATATGGTGTCTAAGGGTGCTGGACTCCCACATGGCCAACTGTGGTTCAAGTCTCGGCTTGCTTTCTCACTTCCTCTTTTTCTGTCTCACTCTGTCCTTTTCTGGTAAATTTAAAATAGATAAAGTTAAATTTAAAAAATAAAAATAATGAGAATAAATCATAATAATAATCTGAAAAAATATGAAAAGCTATTTGATGATGATGTGGATAGTAAGTCTTTGTCTTGACTGATTTGCATAGTAATCATGCTAGAAAAAGAAATGTAATACACTGTAAAGACATATAAAATTCAATGTAATTTTTTTTTTTTTGGAGAGGTTATTGCTATAGGGCGCATGC